ATGATGCCGGCGCCACAAAGGGGATATCAGCAGGCAGTCAAGAGCAGCCGATTTTATCTTCTGGTGCGGAGGGAGCATCGAATATAACAAATCCCAACAGCACCCAAACAACTGGAGACGATGATCCAGCAGCTGATGGTGCAGGGGCAGCAGAGGGAAAACAAAATGAAAATAAAGATGCCAATCCGAAGGAAACACCATTCGAAGCCACAGCCACGAAAAATACAACGTCGACGACTGGCGACAGTGACGGCAGCACCGCGGTCTCCCACACCACCTCCCCTCTTTTGCTTCTTGTTGCGTGTGCGGCTGCTGCTGCGGTGGTGGCCGCGTGAGAGTGAGGGAGAGAGCCGTGCACCGCCCGCACACACACTCTTCCTTCTCTCTCTGTGTGTGTGTGTCCCCTTGCATGGACTCTCGCCCTCACCTCACCCCACGAGGCACACACATAATGTGCCCATTGTATATATGCATGCACACCCATGCAGGCCCGTTGGTGCTCTCTTTTGCACGACACGCACCGCTGCCGTCCTGCCTGGCTGCATGGACGGAGCACCGTAACTGTTTCTGTTTTGTTTTTATTGCATTGAGTGGGCGACCTCTCTCTCTCTCCCTCTGTGTGTGTGTTTTGCTTTACGGGAGTAATGAGAGTGTGTGTGCGCTGGTCGTCCCACGCGTTGTTATTTTTTTTTTTGTTTTGAATCTTTGCGTACGTTCTGGTTGGGTGCATCCACTTTACTTTCATTGATTGGTTTTCTTCTTAAAGTGCGGATGGATGAATTTTCCCTTTTTGTATTCTCCTGTTCTTTGTTTCTCCCACGCAATCGGTCCTTGTTGCTTCAGCAAGCCACGAAATATTTGCCTAACACCCACATCAATGGCTTACTTGCTCTACACCCCACATTAGTTTGAGACGCTGGTGCTGCTGCATGTGATGGTGCTTATGGTGCGATTGCCAGCGGGTGCTTTGCTGTCACTTTGACGTACCCCCGATTTGTTGAATATGTGATGCGTGCCGACAGCACGAATTGGATCCGCGTTGTTGTGAGGGACGCGCCCTTTTTGAGCGGTGAGTGCGCTGCAGCCATACACCGTCATTGGGAGGGATGGATGCCCATCCGCATCAACGTATCCACAAGGGACCTGGATGATACTGGGAAGTATTGGATCTCAGAGAGGTACTACGCAATGAATTCATCGAATGACAATTGCGAGTGTGAGGATGACGTTGTATCCTCTGCGCACGGGATCATTCTCGAGAATGAAGTTGTCCCTGCTGCTTTCAAACTGCATGCGGATTGTCTGCTCGTGCAGCCACTGGAGGGTCCTTTGATTGTGCCCCCATTTGCCACGGGCAGCGTTTGCATTCGGTTTACGGTGCGTGCTGGGCATTGTTCCACTGGTGTTGCCAATGCTGACATGGTGCTGTCCGTGGCAGAGCGCTGTCGGTGGTGGTGAGCTCGACGACTGCCGCGATGGCTGCGAGGGAGCACCACGACAGCGACGACATTGATGGCATGGAGCTGCAGGATGGCGATGGTGACGGGAGGACGCTGGAGTCGCACTGGTCGCAGCGCCACGCGAAGGATGAGTGGATGTCACCGATTGTTTGTGCCGTCTACTGCACGGAGCTGACGCTGGCCGCATTGGCTGACCTAAGCTGCATGAGGGTGAAGTGGGAGATGGCGGAGCCGATGCGTTGGTGAAGGAAGTCGGGCTGTAGGCTGCTGCAGAGGAAGTGCTCCGCACCGAACATGAGTGGATATCCCCAGGTGTTCTGAAAAGCGGGCGTTCATGCCAGACGCTGCACGTTGGATCGGTATTCGAGTGGTTGGTGTGTAGACGAATTATCCATGAAGGGTCAGCAAAACGCCCGATGGACAGTTGCCCCATCATTGGTCCCGCACTGGATGTGAGAAATGCTGCCGCTGTTATTTGGAGGGGAGAATATTTGTCCGCGGTGCCTGGGGACAAGCCCTCTTCGTGGTGTCTGGACACGCTTCCAACCAACACGATGGATGCGAGGGACCCGGAAGAAACATACATCTGAGTGCTGCCATGCATGCGGCATTGCGGTGTCTCGGCATGCAGTTGCGTCTGAGAGTGACTGAAGGGAGTAACGCCCGTTGTACCCCATGCACGGCCGAGGCGACGATTACGTGGGTTGCTCCGCCCTACGATGAGGGAAAAGCTATTTTCCGTGACCACGCGCAGGTGTGCACGATATCCGCCACCAGCGGCAGCCTGTTTCCAGTGGTTCCGTGGGGTGGCGAGGAGAGGGTGTATGGAGCAGGACGGTCTCACTGGCATCTACTGAACAAGCTTTGCTACGGGCATCCGTCCCCGATCCAGAGAGCATTGAGAGCGGCCGTGGCACACCACCGAAGTATGTGGACACGGCTGCTCCCCAGAAGCATCCGTCGCCAGAGGAGAGGGAAGTCGCCTCAGGTGCCACGACGGCAACGGAGTGCTCTTGCCCAGCGACACCGCGGGTACGCCGCAGGAGGCGGAGAAGAAGCGCGATCTTCCGGACATCGACGATGTGGCCGCCGATGGTGTGACGTCTGTTGTGGACAATCATTATGAGATGAGGCCGCCAGCGACAAGGCCGGTGGCGGTTCCACAGCCACGGGAACCAAGGGCCCTGATGCCGCTGAGACGCGCAGGGCGCCGTGGACCCTCCGCCGAGGGAGGATGATGCGGCGGTGGGGCGCGGGGTTGGGAGGCAGACATGAAGAACGCCCCGCCTCCGATCCACGGCAGTAACAGTGCGGCTGCTGCTTGTCCCTTTCCGCTGCTTCTTCTGCTTGCCGCTGCCGTGCCAACACTCAGCAGTGGGTGCAAGAGAGAAAGGCCTATATCAACTGGCATGTTCCTGTCAGTATATACATACTCTGCTTGTGCGTATACTTTGTACCATGGACATGCTGTATGCACTCTCCCTCTTTTGTGTCGGTCGCTAATGTGGCGGCACCACGCGTGTATTATGGGTTGGGCTAAGTAATTGTTTGACTTCTTCTGGAGAATACTGTGGGGTGTTTTTGTGCGTGTACGAGGGATCTGTGTGGTTTTGATTTCCCTATTTTTATTTACTTGCTTTGGCATTGTGTAATGATACTTCCCTTCTCCATTATGTGTGTTCTGAAGTGTTGCTAGGGCACCGGGAGTGGATGCCTGTGGACGCACGCCGTGCATTATGCGCTACATTGGTGGGAGGGGAGACTGACATAACTGGCGGGATTCAGTAAGGCGCTTTTCTGCCCACAGACCCTGCAGCTGCAGCAGCCCGAGTGGCGCTTTGCATATGGACGTGTGGATTGTTTCTCTCTTGCGAGGCCTTTTCTACTGCGTGTCATTCTCCGCTCGGGTACCGTGCCCGTGGCAGCAGCGGCGGCATCAAAAGGACTGTGTGCGTGGAGAGTCCTTGATTGAGTGCCTGTCTTACTTCTCTGTTCTGTCGATTGATTGTACCGTGTGCCGGCCAAACGGTTGACATGACGTTCTCCTGACGGCGGGGTCCACGTGACACGATGTTGCGTCGCGTGGTTTGTTGCGGGTGTGTGATTTCCGCAACGGTTTTTGGGCGGTTGACTGTTGGGTCGTTGAGGGCGGCGTGGCGACGGGTGCGGATGGACCCGATTGTGTGCCGTGGCTGCTCGTGCGGGGGAGCCGCGGGAAGGAGGAAGGCAGCGGAGCGATGGACTCACGAGGAGTGCGGTAGCGTGCAGCCATGAAGATTGGCGACAGGGACTCACTGCCGCTGTGAGTTGCCGTGTGTGGTGTTTGTTTCTGTTATTATTACTTGCGTTGTTGGATGTGGCCGCTGTGGGGGAAGACTGTTTTTTGTTTCTTTTTACGCCGTTTTGGGATCCTTTTCTGCACCGGCATCACTGTGTTCTTGCCGTACTGTTGCGCCCTCTTTCCCTTCCATTTTGGGGCAGCTGCGGGTGGGTTTTACATGCCGTGGGGTTGTGTGCCGTGCTGTCCGGTGTTTCATTGTTGCCTGTTCTTCCTGCGTGCACGCATCCCCCATGCTCGTGACAGCAACCCTCATGCAAACGCTACTCCTCCTTTTCCATGCTGCTGATGTGTGTGTGTTCTTCTCCTCCTTTGTCCCTCCTAGACTGTGTGTGCAGCCGTGATGATGATGACTGGCCGTGTGCTGCTGGTGTGTGCCCTCTGCGTGCTGTGGTGCGGTGGCTGCGGTGGTGGATGTTCTGAAACAATTTCTCCAGCTCCTCCGGATTCTCCGTCCGACGGGAACCCTCAAAAAGAAGGAGAGGCCACAGATGTCACTGGAAAAGGTGACCAAAGCGGTCAATCGGAAGCGTCTCGAGGAAAATCACCGGCGTCCGAATTACCGGCAGCGCCAGCGAAATCATTACAGGAAACACAATCCGGAGGAGGTGCACCAGATTCGGCAAATACAACGACGGACAAGAATAATCCAAATACAGAAGGTAAAAAGGAGGAAAAGGAAGAAGACGAAGCCGAAGAAGAGGAAGACGAAGAGGAAGAAGTGGAAGTGGAAGAAGACGAAGAGAAACAACAAGAAGAGGAAGGGAATCAAGAGGCAGACGGGGGGGATGTTACGAAAGAAGAAGAGGAAGAAGGGAAAGGGGAAGAGAATGGTGCGAATGAAAAGGGGGAGACAAAGAAAGAAGCTGTTACCGGCACCACGGAGGGGATCTCAGCAGGCGGTCAAAAGCAGCCGATTTTATCTTCTGGTGCGGCGGGAGCATCGAATATAACAAATCCCAACAGCACCCAAACAACTGGAGGCGATGACCCAGCAGCTGATGGTGCAGGGACAGCAGAGGGAAAACAAAATGAAAATAAAGATGCCAATCCGAAAGAAACACCAGTCGAAGCCACAGCCACGAAAAATACAACGGCGACGACTGGCGACGGTGACGGCAGCACCGCGGTCTCCCACACCACCTCCCCTCTTTTGCTTCTTCTTGTTGTTGTTGTGTGTGCGGCTGCGGCTGCGGTGGTGGCCGCGTGAGAGTGAGGGAGAGAGAGCCATGCACCGCCCGCACACACACTCGTCCTTCTCTCACTCTGTGTTTGTGTCCCCTTGCATGGACTCTCGCCCTCACCTCACCCCACGAGGCACACACAATAATGTGCCCATTGTATATATGCATGCACACCCATGCAGGCCCGTTGGTGCTCTCTTTTGCACGACACGCACCGCTGCCGTCCTGCCTGGCTGCATGGGCGGAGCACCGTAACTGTTTCTGTTTTTTTTTATTGCATTGAGTGGGCGACCTCTCTCTCTCTCCCTCTGTGTGTGTGTTTTGCTTTACGGGAGCAATGAGAGTGTGTGTGCGCTGGTCGTCCCACGCTTCGGCTTTTTGTTTTTTTTTATTTATTGTTTCATTTTTGTTGTGGTTGAGTCGACCCATTATGTTTTTTTTTTTGGATTGGTGGTTTACTTAGAATGTGGACGCATGATTTTTTATTTTATTTTATTTTTTCTTTTGTTTTGCGATATTGTCAGTGTTTCTTATCCTTGTCAAGCCATGAATTGCTTTCTTTTACGTACAGCATGCGCCAATTGGTCACGTTAACCCACGGTCTGCAGTGCTGCTGGTGCTTGTGGTTGTGATGATGTGTGCGGTGTGATTGCCGAGAGGGAGTCCGTTGCCGCCAGGATTCGTGTGGGCGATTGGGAAGTTTCCAGACAAAAGGTATGAGATGTCTAGTGCCATCTTCAGTGGCAAGGCACTCTGCTCTATATGAGCGTGCGAGCCTGCCAGCTGCTGCACGATGTACCTCCACAGGGAGATCAGTTGTCGTGGTGGAGCCGTACAATAGTGCAGCGGATCCAGATGCGAGCTCGGCGAGAGATGAAGAAACGTCTGTCCATAATTCAAAATCATACGCTCCCAGAGAGGAGTAAATAGAATCAAGAGCCGTGCGCTTGACGTCGTCAGAGGCGTCTTGGGCAAAGCGTGGCTGATTAAATTCCACTTTATTGCAGCTCACAGTGTCCCAGAGGAAATTACGATGTTGAATAGGAGGAGCACGATTGTGGCTGTGGGGTGTCCCAATAATGTTACATACGCGGCGTAATCCATTAATAACAGCATCTCTCGGGAGCGGGATTGATGTCGCCAATTTATTATGCATGGACGGCGGCATAGGTTCCGAGTGGGTAAGGAAACGCAAATCCTCAATACATCGAAGAAGTGTGAGGCGTTTGTGTTGTGTGGGTGCAAGAAGCCAGAGTATCCTCCGCAGCGGTGCTGGATTGGCGGCCAGGTGGACAGAAGTATCCTTCTTTGCTGCGCGTGGGCCGAGCGATGCAGTGCAGCTGTCGCGGTGCGACGCACTGTGGAAGCACCCAACCAGAAAGTATCGCGTGGTGTGCTGGGACGCCCCAGCCTCTGCACCCAGCCGCAGCTGATGGCGGCGTGGCACGGTCCGCATCGCAGTCCAACTAAAGCATTGTTTTTTCATTTGCATTGTGTTGTGTGACGAAGGCGCGTAGGAGCTTCCCGATGTGGTTGGAGACTTGCGATTCTGAATAATGCGTTGCAGTTGCGCAGCGTCGTTTTGAGAAGCAGGTGAGTGACTGCCCGCATTAATCAGCAAACAACATCTCGGATGACAGCAGGAAGCACTGCGGTTTCTCCTTTTTTTGCAAAGCGAATTTATTGGACGTCACGTTTGATTGGCAGCTTTTGTGGGAGAAGGTGGGAGGCTGAGGGCATGAGGACTGAATTCATTTAGGTGGCTGCGTTCCGTTGAATTGCGGCCAGTCGTGGCACTCTTTTTGGGGTTTGGATGCCTGTCTCTTTTGTTTACTTCCCACCGCAGCAGGTGGATAACACTGAACCGAGGAACATTTGTTTGACCGCGCGTGGGCTGCTGCCGTGCGTGGCGCATGGACTATGTGATTGTGTGGGGAGGTGCGTTGGGGTGACGAATACTTCTGTTTGGCGTGTCGCGGTGTGTCGGAATGATGTTCGGATGGCATGTGGAGGGTGTTGTTTGTAGTTTGCGTGTCTTCTCTGGTGGAGCCGACATGTGTGCGGGATTGTGGCATTGCTGGCTGACAGTTCCACGTCACTCTTCGGCATTCCTGGATGTGCTGAGGAATGACGGCTGGCGACCAGCGTGTTGGTGCTGCTGGTGGGAATAAGTGCATCGGAAATAGGCCATTTTCTCTTTTCCGTGCTGGAGCCGATGAAATGGCACGAGGGTACCGGCTGCAAGCTGCCTGCCAGCACGTGTGAGCAGCGGATCCATGCACACACCGACGCTCATCGCAAGAGCTTGTTCGATCACAGTGGCCTTTTGTGGCGTGCTTTTATGGGCGTCAGCCCATCGAGGAATGTGTGAAGCAAACGGCTGACTGCACACGAGGAAAATAAGTGCGTGCACTGTGCCGTGTTTCAGCGTCGGTGGCAGAGCGACAGGAGGCCCGTGCTGGCAACTGAGATGTTTGCGTCGCGAGGGATGTCGGTGTTGATTTTGGATCGTCGAGGGTGAAGTGATTTTGCTGCTGCCCGTGTGTGTGGCCACTCCGGCGGAGGGCGGAGACAACAGGGAGGGATGCAGGCGCTGCGTGTGTGTGTGTGCAGGTGCCATGCAACAACGTCACAACAAACATGCTGCGACTCGGTGACCCTCACATCGCTGTGGTCCTCACGAACAGCCGAGGCACGGCCCGCATCGATGCACTCAGTGGACGGAGTGAGGCATCTTTGAGGTGCCGCAGGGAACAGGATGTGTTGACGCAGCCGCGACGTGCATGGAGTGTCACGATGGCACAGTCAGCTGTGGCTGGTGGAATATTTACTTCTCGGAGGCAACGGAGAGAGAGAGAGAGAGCTGCTCCTGCTGCTGGCGTCATTGCTGCCTTTTGTGGCCTCCCATGCCGATTATTGTCTGTCCGCTGATCATGGATGGCATGCCTCCACTAGTGACGTCGTCTGCAGGCATTCCACAGCACCAGTGAAACACACATCACGTCGCATGCTTTGGCTGTGGATGTGGTGTCGTGAATGCAGCCGGCATTATTTTGCCCGACTCCTTTTCACTGCTTTGCGACGAATAGATGCGTCGCCGCCCGAGTCATCCACTGCAGCTCCGTGTGTTGTACTGCCAGCACAAGACTCTCCTGTTGTCTGACGCCTGGCTGACAGTCGAACACCACTGCGTTGGGACACACAAGGATGTGGACTGCCGCTCACGGTGTTGGGCACCGCTGTTTGGATGTGGCGGCCACACGAGCGGATGTATTGTGGCACAATGAAATGCGTGAAATACGCGGAATCACAGCGGCTGCAATAATATCAACGGTGTGGCACCACGGAGTATGTGAGGGGGTGATGCATGAGGAATCAGAGTGGGCGGCATGCGAGGGAAGTGCACCGCGACGGAGCGTCATCCGCCCTCAGCCTGCAGGGGAATGTGCACCCACAAAATATATGGTCGAGACACCACCAAACACACATGCCCTTCCATGCACCAATAAATAGGAGCGAAGGTGCGTTCTGGTGCGTGGGAGTCCACTCACATATTTTCATTTCCACCGCAATAAACGGTGAGGAATCAGGTGCCACAGCAACGAAGGAGGAAATAAAAACATTTATTGCAGCACTTTACCAGCGAAAGGCAGGAACGACACAAACCGAATTATTGGCTGCACCGGCACTCGAAAACTTTAAAATAGGAAAAAATAATGCTGCACCCTGCGGGAACCCCAACACACGACCCAGGCATGAAGGTTTACCCCATGCAAAACAAAACAAAACGTGCAGACATCTGCCAACATCCAAACAGAAACAGAAATAAATAGTTTCCTGCACTCTTCCATTCCTTGCGCTGAATATGAACGAAGGCCAAAGGCAACTGAGTTGCTTTTGTGATGAATATTGGCTGCACTTCCCGTGGACCAACAATCCACGTGGTGTGCGGAGATCTCTTCCTTTTTTACTGTTACTTTGCTTTTGTGTTGCTGTGTGCGCTGCACCTCCTCTTGTGTGTGTGCGTACCCTCCGTGAGGGATGCCGGCACGACGGACCGCTCTCGCCGTATGTGCATGCGGTGGAGCCTTGTGTGCCGCTCCTGTTTGCTTCTCCCTCTTCCATCTGTGTGTTGTTGTTGCGGCAGGGCTGTGTGTGCGGCGTACGGTGCATGCCTGGCTGCTGCCCTCTCCTCATGTGGTGTGCCCTCTGTGTGTGTGTCTGCCGCACCTCTCGTCTCCCCTGTTGCTCTCCATGTCCCTCACTGTGCAGATCAGCTCCACACCACCGAACGACCACACTCACGATGATGACGTGCCGTCTGCTGTGCGCCCTGTTGGTGCTCGCCCTGTGCTGCTGCCCTTCGGCGCGAGCGACAGCAGGCAAGGTTAAAACTGAAGAAGAAGTTAACGTACAGGTTACTGTTTCAGAAGTGCTAAATAAGGTCGGTGGGGAACATAATTCAGATACCGATGTTGATGCATTACAGACAGGAAAAGCAGCGTCCGGTGCGGGACAGAATGATAATGGGACGCCTTCCAGTAACTCAGAACCACTAGTTCCGATAATTGATACGATGAAGTCAGAAAGTCCGAAGGATGTTCAGGAGCAGGCAATTGATGGAGTCACTGAGACGGCAAAAGAAGGAAAAGAGAAACCCCTTAATCCAGAAGTAACAGATACATCCGATGCGCAGCAGTCAACAAGTTTGACTGCTGTAAGGAAGGTATCAGAGAGCGAGACCACTGCCGCAAATACGACGACCACTACAACCACTACAACGACCACCACCACTTCGCCAGAGGCACCAACTACAACCACGACGACCCACACACCGTTACGTCTTCGCGAAATCGACGGCAGCCTCAGCAGCTCTGCGTGGGTGTGTGCCCCGCTGCTGCTCGCCGCATCGGCGCTGGCGTACACCGCTGTGGGCTAAAGAGGTGTGTGTGCGGGCTGTGCGTGCCAGCACTCAGTCACGGGGGTTTGTGCGCTTTTTTGCTTTATAGCGTAATATGTAATAGAAACCAATGATCTACTTTTGCTTTATTTGCTTTCGCTGCCCTGCTGTGTGCTCCATGTTGCTGCTTCCTGTATCCACCACGTTGAACGCATCCCGGACACACTCACACCACGGAGACAACTGTTTGTGTGGACGCATGTTTTTCTGCTTGTGCATGCACACTGGGGGCTTTTGGTGAAGTTTTTTTTTGTGTGTTTTTAATTTTTTACTTTTCTTCTTTTTGCTGTTTTGTTATTAATTGTTTTACGTGTTTTTTTTCCATGTTTACTTGCTGCGGGGCCTTCTTTGTTTTCTTTCATTTTCTCAAGGTTTAATTTTCTTTATTTTTCCTGCTATTTTCCTTTTTTGTCTTGCCCCCCGCCATCCTTCTCTTTTTTGCCTTCGGGGGCAATCACTATGGACGTTTTTCTTTTCTACTCTTCCCTCTTCTAATTGTTTGTTGCTGCACTCTTCCTGCGAGGGGTGTCGTGTGTTTCCGCCCAACTGCTCCACTCGCACACCCACCGACACGCTCATGACGACGGCCCTGTGCGCCTCGCCTGCTGCACGCATGAGGAGGGGCCGCGACGAAGGGCGCGCTGAGGGAGCCGTGACGTGTGGGCGTGCGACGAGGGCCTGTGGGGCGGAGCACACATTTCTTCCCTCTTGTTTTGTTTTCTTTGCGGCGAGGGCGGGCAGACACCCGCAGCGCCACACACACAGCCACACCCTGCCGCCGTGTTTTTCTTTAAGGATTTGTTTTGCTTTGCGTGTTTATTTCATGCGGTGGCGCACCCTTCGGTGTCGGCCTCGTGGGCATTTCTCTCCCCTCCGATGATTTCTTTTTCTTTTGCTGCGCTCACTCTCCCGATGGAGTGACGCGACTCCCGTCATGTCTGCGTGCTTCTCTCAGTCCCCACACACACGAGTGACTGTGCTCTGCGGGCCGCACTCACGCGCCGATGAGAGGGCTGAGGGGAGCAGCAACACGCAGATGGCCCATGAAATATAAACGATGTGCGGACACGTGGAGGGTCGGACGGTTGAAGCACACGCAACCATCTTTTTAATTTTCTTTTGCGGGCAAAATACATACAGACAGTTTGGTGTGGCCACACGGCAGCCAGGCGATCTTTTTCTTGTTTTCAAAATTGTGTGGAGCAGTAATGGACGATTTCTTTTCATTTATAATTATTTTGTGTGATGGGGTTTACATAAGACGAAGGGGGACGTTTTTTTGTTTTCAATAAATATTGTGTGAATTGCCGCTGCTTGGGCTGCAGTGCAGTCATGAGTTTGAGCGGTCTTCTTGTTGTTGTTGCTTCCGTTATGCGTCTCCGCTGTACATCTTTGTGCGTCCCTCCACATACTCTGCTCCCTCTTTTCTACTTCATTGCTTTGTGTTTCTGCAGGCACACACAACCACACACACAAGATGCACATTGCAGTGGATTTGGATGCGCCTTTTGTAGTGCATGCTGGCAGTTGCGTGTGGCGGCTGTTGTCTTCTTCCGTGGCCATGAGCAGGGAGGAGAGAGGGAGCGCACCCCGAGACTATTTTCCTGCGGGTGTGATGCACCACGTGTGACTGCGCTGAGTTGGGCTCCGTGTCCCATTGATGGCGGGATGGCAGGAAATTTTTGTGCCGCGTCATGGATGGATGAGGGTTCGCTTGCTCCGTGTGCGTTGTGTGGTGGCCGCGGGTTTTGCCATTTCCCTGGGGCTGCGGGAATGAGCTGGGGGAGATGGTGGTGGATGTCTTCTCCTCCTGCATGGTGGGTGGCTGCTGGCGTTGTGTGCCTTCCTTGCGTGGATGCCGTCTCGTGGTGTGTGGACTGTGCGGCTGGGCCTGCTGCCCTCTCCTCATGTTGTCTGCGCTCTCTCGCTGTATCCGCTGTGCCCCGTCCCTCTCCCTCTCGTTCCATTCCTTTCCTTCTGTCTCACCGATCAGCTGACTGACACCAGCGACTCCACTACGGGTGATGATGACTGCGATGGTGACGGTGCGGCGCCGTGCTGGTCCTTGCGCTCTTGTGCTGCTGCCCGTGTGCGTGACGGCGACTGGGAGCCCGGGTCTCCTTTCCTGTGGGTGTGGTCTGCCGGTGAATGTGTCGTGTGCTCCGAGTGACGGCAGCCTGAGCTGTCGCGTGTGTGTGTGTGGGCGTGGAAGAAGTGTTCTGCTGCCAGTGCTGAGGCTCAGGATGAGAATTATAATTTCAGTGGCTTTGATGTGCGCATGCATGGCAGGAATGGTGAGCTGGGTGCTGTGTGCCATGTGGCCAATGCGGTGCACACATGTAGCAACTGTGCTGCCAGCTGTGCAACGAAAGAGGAAGGGGCCACCGTTGCCTTCACGATGAATGTGACGACACATAAATACGCCGGCCCTTATGAATTGTGGTGGCGTCAAATTTCCCCCGATGGAACCATCCATTCGCCTGCACGGAGCAGCGATGCTGACCGGACGGGCATCTGTCGGTTGCCGCCACCCCGTGAAGGGAAGGACGACACAAAATCTGGCGAGACAACTGCGCCGCAAGTGAATGCTGAGCCGTCACGTCAGAGCGAGGATTGGCGACAGTCTGCGGCGGCTGACGGACCCAACACCGTTGATCCGAGTCCCGCATCCAACACGGCGACCAACACGTCCGAGACGAGGCCTGAGTTTGCCTTTGTTCGGAACACAAAAGTGACTCCGACACCACCTGGAAGAAGGCCCACGCCTGTCACCGAGCCGAAGGGGATCCTGTTGATGATGCGATGATTGGTTTAATAAATGTTGGGTTACTGCAGGGAGTCGATCTATTTGTGCCGCAGACGACGCTGTGCAGCCGAAGGATGGGATTGTTCCAGTTACGACGAGGGATTCAATTGCTTCACCCTCTCTCGTCAGTGCTGATGGAGTAATTGGTGCTTTCGCCGAGGGTCACATGGATGCCGAATATCAAGGTGGTCAATTAAGTAAGCCCTTTTCTTCTGCTTTTGTTGCGGGGTACATCGACTCTGAGTGGAATTGGTCCACTGCTGTTGGCGAGGTCAATAAAAGGATACATGGAGGGCACACACTGTGGTTGGTGCAGCGGAGGGAGAGGAGAGTTTGGATGCTGTGCTCCGCCGCACAACAATCACGAAGGGCCACGGAGTTTTTCCTCCTGCGGGAGGCTCTGATGCGTCCTACGAAGGTGGGTGTTGGAGAGAGGACGGCTTGGAGCCGAAACTGTTTGTGGGTGATGTCACGAATCCCACGGGTGGCAAGCGGAGTGGACGGATCGAATGGGGCGACCCCAAACCACTCCCGAAACTGATCTCTTCTGCTTCTCACGAAGGTGACTGGACGGAGTTCATTGCTTCTGGTGGCGCAGGTGTTGTGATGGAGGATGGCACGCTTGTGTTTCCTCTGATGGCGAAGAAAATGAAGTTGACGTTTGCTCCATGATCATTTGCTCGACGGACAGCGACAGTGCCCGGGCGCTCTCTGAGGACATTTCCCCTGCGGAATGCCTTATCCCCGCGTCACCGAGTGGGAGGGATCACTTCACATGATTATCGACTGCGAGAGTGGCGAGAGGGTGTAGGCGTCGCGTGACATGGGGACAGCGTGGGCGGAGGCCATCGGGACACTCTCAGCCGTGTGGGCCAACGCACGATCGGAAGTCTCTCAGAAGGAAAGCCTGTGTGTGGATGCCCTCATCACCGCGACCATTGAGGAAGGGAAGGAAGGTCATTCTGTACACTCAGAGAGGGCATGCCTCGGGGAAGAAAAGGACCACTGCGCTCTGCCTTTGGGTCACGGACACCAACCGCACGTTTTCTGTTGGACCGGTTGCCGTGGACAATGCTTCAAAGTGGAAGACAGAACTGAAGGACTGCGGTATGTAATTCTATTTGCCTTGTCCCTCTTGTTGCTGCCGTTTGTGTGCGGGTGAGTGAATGGAAGGAGTGGAGATGTGCGAGGGAGTGAGGGTGGCCGTTGTTTTCGTACATTTGTGTTTTCCACACACGCGGCACCTCTCGGCAGCCTCTTGCAGCACCAGGACGTGGACTGAGAGGATGTGAGGTGTGCTCCAACTACAAGGACAACGAGATGCAGTGCATGACGGCCAACCTGATTCGCGGGTGGTTGCAGTGCATGGGGCACGTGCGCCATTACGCGTTGTGCGTTGTGCTCATGATTGGGGCGAAGTGGCGGCACGACATTGTGGCGCTGTGTGTGTTGTGCGCGGCGGTGGCATGCCGGCGATTGTGAGGGACGTGGAGGACACGGAGCTGCTTGACTGGGGGAGGAGGTGGCGTACGTTGCGGCGCGGTGGGAGCGCATGGCGGCTGCGTGTGCTGGGAAGCCCGACGATCCCGAGGCCTGTGCTGGAGGGGCGCGTGCTGGAGTGAGCGTGGCGTGCCTGTGAGGGTCTGAAGAGAGAGAATAACAGTAATAGTGACATTGTGAGTATGAGGAACGGTGCACGGACGGGGATAAATTCTTTTTTGTTGTTTTTGGATTGCTGTTGCACCGCGACCAACTAATTGTTGTTGTGGTGCGTGACTCTCATTGCTGGATGGGACGGTGCTTGGTTGTGTGACGTGTCTCTCCTTTTGCCTTCTCTCTGCGTTGACGTGTTGTTAGTTTGTGCTGAAGGCTGCACGCAAGTGACAGGAGTGATGGCGATGGTGATGGCTGGCCGTGTGCTGCTGGTGTGTGCCCTCTGCGTGCTGTGGTGCGGTGCTGCGGAGGTGTCGGTGACCGATGGTGACGTTGTTGCTGGCGGTCCCGTAGCTCTTGGCGATCCTGGTGTCGGTGGGCAATCTCCTCTTGTAAATAAGGGTGATGGTGGCAGTGGAGGTTCAAAGGGTGATAGTTCTCATGAAAGTAAAAGTGAATCGTTGGTTGCTGCTTCGGGAGAAGAATCACCAGCTCTCCTTCTTGATGAGGATGAAGGTAGAAATCCCGCTGAGGAACATTTACGCGTGGAAAAAGAGGACTCCAAAGGAAAACAGGAAGAGTCACAATCACCGCCTCAAGGTGCATCGCCGACTGAAGTGAATCCAGAAGAAGCACTTGATTCCCTTCCGCAAGAACGGTCACTCGATGCACCAGAAAAAGGAGTTATCACTAATGGTGGTGGCGGTGGAACTGCGAACGGGGTAAAAGACGATACCGACCAGAATGCCGGGTTGTCCCCTAACAACAGCGATCCCACGGCATTGGTAGAACCAGAAGTCAAACAAGTAGTAACACCACAACCAATAACAACTGGGCCATCACCAGCGATGACCGTTTCAGCAGAAGAAACAAACCCAACAGCATCCACAGGCCCGCAGCATGCAACCGAGACAACAAGCACGACGTCACCGTCGCACAGTAAAAAGGTGCCTGAAGCAACGGAAAAAACTTCAGGAAATGTTGAGCCAAACCAACAGAGAGAAGAAACAGACCAACCGGATTCCATGAATAATGGAACTACAAGTCATCCGGCGGAAACAGCAGCATCATCCACAATTGGCAGTGATGGAGCCCAGAACAAGGAGGGCAAGGTTGATAACGGTATTCAAAGGCCTGACAGAAAAGAACCACAAGACGGTCTTGAAGATAGAAATACCGACGATGCTTCCACAGCAAGTGAGACAGAACCAAAATCAGCAAAAACAGACATTACCCAAAAGAATGCTACATCTAAGTCTGGCGACAGTGACGGCAGCACCGCAGTCTCCCACACCACCTCCCCTCTTTTGCTTCTTGTTTTTGCTTGTGCGGCTGCGGTGGTGGCCGCGTGAGAGTGAGGGAGAGAGAGCCGTGCACCGCCCGCACACACACTCGTCCTTCACTCACTCTCTGTGTGTGTGTCCCCTTGCATGGACTCTCGCCCTCACCTCACCCCACGAGGCACACAATAATGTGCCCATTGTATATATGCATGCACACCCATGCAGGCCCGTTGGTGCTCTCTTTTGCACGACACGCACCGCTGCCGTCCTGCCTGGCTGCATGGGCGGAGCACCGTAACTGTTTCTGTTTTGTTTTTATTGCATTGAGTGGGCGACCTCTCTCTCTCTCCCTCTGTGTGTGTGTTTTGCTTTACGGGAGCAATGAGAGTGTGTGTGCGCTGGTCGTCCCACGCTTCGGCTTTTTTGTTTTGTTTTTCATTGTGTTGTGTTTGAGTGCACCCATTCCATACTTTCATTGTTTGGTTTTCTTCTTAAAGTGCGGATGGCTGAATTTTCCCTTTTGTATTCTCCTGTTCTTTGTTTCTTCCCACGCAACCGGCCCTTGTTGCTTCAGCGAGCCAAGAAATATTTGCCTAACACCCACATCAATGGCTTACTTGCTCTACACCCCACATTAGTTTGAGACGCTGCTGCATGTGATGGTGCTTATGGTGTGATTGCCAGCGGGTGCTTTGCTGTCACTTTGACGTACCCTCGATTTGTTGAATATGTTATGCGTGCCGACAGCACGAATTGGATCCGCGTTGTTGTGAGGGACGCACCCTTTTTGAGCAGTTGGTGCGCTGCAGCCATACACCGTCATTGGGATGGATGGATGCCCATCCGCATCAACGTATCCACAAGGGACCTGGATGCTACCGGGAAGTATTGGATCTCAGAGAGGCACTACGCTATGAATTCGTCGAATGACAATCGCCACTGTGAGGATGACGTTGTATCCTCTGCGCACGGGATCATTCTCGAGAATGAAGTTGTCCCTTCTGCTGTCAACCGCATGCGGATCGTCTGCTCGTGCAGCCACTGGAGGGTCCTTTGATTTTGCCCCCATTTGCCACGGGCAGTGTTTGCATTCGGTTCACGGTGCGTGCTGGGCATTGTTTCATCTGTGTTGCCAATGCTGACATGGTGCTGTGTGTGGCAGAGCGCTGTCGGTGGTGGTGCACTCGACGACTGCCGCGATGGCTGCGAGGAGCACCACGACAGCGACGACATTGATGGCATGGAGCTGCAGGATGGCGATGGGGACGGGAGGACGCTGGAGTCGCACTGGTCGCAGCGCCACGCGAAGGATGAGTGGATGGCACCGATTGGTTGTGCCGGCTGCCGCACGGAGCTGACGCTGGCCGCATTGGCTGAACTGGGCTGCATGAGGGTGAACTGGGATATGGCGGAGCCGATGCGCTGATGAAGGAATTCGTGCTGTGCGCTGCTGCAGAGGAAGCGCTCCGCACCGAACATGAGTGAATATCCCCAGATGTTCTGAAAAGCGGGAGTTCATGCCAGACGCTGCACGTTGGATCGGTATTTCAGTGGCTGGTGTGTAGGCGGAGTATCCATGAAGGGTCAGCAAAACGCCCGATGGACAGTTTTCCAATCACTGATCCCGCACTGGATGTGAGGGATGCTGCCGCTGTTATTTGGAGGGGAGAATATTTGTCTGCGATGCCTGGGGACAAGCCCTCTTCGTGGTGTCTGGACACGCTTCCAACCAACACGACGGATGCGAGGGACCCGGAAGAAACATACATCTCGGTGCTGTCATGCATGCGGCATTGCGGTGTCTCGGCATGCGGGTGCGTCTGAGAGTGACTGAAGAGGGTAACGCCCGTTGTGCCCCATGCACGGCCGAGGCGATGATTACGTGGGTTGCTCCGCCCTACGACGAGGGAAAAGCTATTTTCCGTGGCCACACGCAGGTGTGCACGATATCTGCCACCAGCGGCAGCCTGCTTCCAGTGGTTCCGTGGGATGGCGAGGAGAGAGGGTGTGTGGAGCAGGACGGTTTCACCGGCATCTAATGAACAAGGATTGCTAGGGGCATCCGTCCCCTATCCAGAGAGCATTGGGACCGGTCGCGGCACACCACCGAAGGATGTGGGCACGGCTGCTCCCCAGAAGCATCCGTCGCCAGAGAGAAGGAATTCGTCCGGGATGCCCTGACAGACCGCGAGAATCTTCTCTCGGCGGCAGGGATCGAAGCAGCGAGACGGAAGGCAAGCAGGCCTCGCCTCCGAATCCCGGTGATGAGACAGCTGCTGCTTGTCCCTGTCCGCTGCTTCTTCTGCTTGCCTCTGCCGCCGTGCCAACACTCCATCGAGTTGCGGTGTGGTCGGCGTTGCGCTGCGAGGCGACTGCGCTTCCTCCTGCGCGGCCTGCACCCAGCACTGGAAGCCCAATAGAAAAACATCCATTTCAATGGATGTCGTTCTCCATATGCATGTGCTGTGCCCACTCCGTTTGACTTTGTGTTTGGAATTGGTGGTACTTCCTATGCACACTGCTCCTTTCGTGTTGGTCGCCGATGTTGGGCCACCGGATGGTATTATGGCTTTGCTTGTGTGTTTGTTAGATTTTCTGAGACGCACATACATACACAAAAAGCGGTGCGAGTGAAATGTGCACACACAAGACACACACGCATATCGAAGCACATTGTCTGTGTGACTTGTGCTTGACATATTATGCGAGGCGGGTTGGTGCGGTAAAGGCCGACGGAAGAAGGGAAGCCGCGTGAGTCCAGCAATGGTGTTCGTGGTTGTGCGCGGGATCATGTGTTCCATCAGATGCTCGACGCCGTTCATGGATCGTTTAAAGTTTTTTTCTGCGATGCCCATGCTGCGGCTGTGCTGAGCTGCTCACTGCGTCTCCATGATCTCATGGAGCACGGCGTGACGCTGCTCGAGGACCCCATGACGCCGCGGCAGCCGATTATGAGTGGCCCTGCACCCTACTTTTTTGCCGTGGAGGATGCGTCTGTGAGCCGCGTGGCTGAGGATTGGATGGCAACGGTCCCGCACAGGGATTCACACATCTTTTCGCTGGGGTACACCCCGCATCGCAGTCCTCAGCAACTCGAGTGGGCTCGGATAGCGCCGAAGGCGATGCGTTTGAAGGACATTATGTTAGACTTTGCCGCCCCTGAGGTGCTGGTGTTCCACCCAAATGTGCCGAACGAGTTCTTTCAGCTGCTGTCGCCACTGTCGCCTCCGAATTGAGAGTCCGTTTTGGATGTTGCGGCGTCACGTCTTGTGGCGGCTATTCACGCCATGAACAACAGTGTGCCCGTCATTCGCTACCAAAGCAGAAGCAGCATCTGCCATGGGCTTGTCAGAACCTTTTTGATGGCTCGCCAGGCAATACCACGACGAGCCGGATTTTGCTTAGGGACGCCGACAGCCGCGGCAACTCGGTGCGGATCACCGTTGATTGGGGCTGTGTCACGGTGACGCCGCTGATGCACCAACGCACATGTCGGTGTCTGCTTGATGACCTGATGCCGCTGGAGAATAACTTGTATTAGCAGACCTGTAGGAATTGTCTGGCTGAGGACTCGAAGCGGCAGTAATTGATGGGGAAGATGTGTACCGGTGCTCCTACCGTCATTGTTTTCTCGCGCATTGCGTGGAGGAGCTTTCGGTGGCGCTGAAAAAACTCCACGCTTATCACCCGGGATTGGCGCATGGCGTTGAGCCGAAGGCCAAGCTTGCGGAGTTGGGGAGTTCGGTGCGGGCTCCGCCGGAGCTTCGGGTGAGGCAAACCAGACTATCGCTGCACATCGATATTTGCGCGAGGCTTGTGGCACAGTACCGGGAGAAGCGACTGGCGGAGGTGCGAGGTGGAAAAAGACATCGTCGTTGGGCACCAACCCTTCAGGAAAAACCTGGATGGCGTGCGGCACCTGACGAGGGATGCGGCGATGCCCCGGCCAGTGCGTCTGCGTCTTCTGTTGCTTGTGACTGCGAGCAGCACCGACGAGTTGACGGAGGCCAAGAAGCAGCATCTGATCCGAGACGGTAGACTGACACCGGAAGCCTATTTGTTTGCGAACCTTGAGCATGTGACGAGGAGGGCCGGGAGCGTGCAGCAATACAGCACGGCGTCGGCGCAGGGCGGACGGAGCACGAGTGCCTCTGCGAGCAACGCCGCGACGGACGAGGATCCGCTTCTGAAACAGGCCTGTATGATGATGGAGACGGGCAGGAATAGGACGCTGCGGGTTGGGCTTTCGTTGTCATCGGTGCAGCGCGATCATGTGATAGGGCCAAATGGCGAGAGTGGTGGCCATAACAGTGGAGCAGCAGGAAAAAACGCCGGGCCATTTCAAGGGTGTGGTGGCAAAGAGAAGAATCATCCTGATCTGGGTGGCGGTGGTGGGACGATTGCCCTCACAACTTCTCAGCGCATAGTGCTGCTTGTTTTGGGTGGTTTGGCCTGCAGCGAGAGGCGCTCGGTCCATGAGATATCCAAAAGGTATGGCCGTGGGGTGTTTATTGGGGAGCCTCGCTGCCGCGTCCTGAGGTGTGTTTGTGCAGGGAATTGGCATCCTACGGCACTGTGACTCACTGGCGAGACACGCACAGGAACGCATCGAGAGCCAAAGAGTGGGAAATACACAAACACACACGATTGCGGGTGTCTGTGGGAATTGTGTGCGCTTCTTCCTGCATTCAGTTCCTCTCCAAGAAGTGTTCCATACGATACGCGTGTGTGTGTTTCAACGGCTGCGCTGCTTGCCTTTTGCTTTTGTTTTCTTGTGTGTGCGGTTGCAAGTCGTTTCTCTGCCACTAAGAAGGCGGTTAAAAAAGGAAGGACATTTGTGGGGCATGCACCCACGGCTTCAGTGTTCATCCACTGATGCTGACTTTTTTCGCCGGGGCATTTGTGCACGCTTTTCTCTCCAATGTTTATTTTTTTTTTTTTTTGCAGAGGAGGCAACGGGTGGGCATTCGTGGGTGCTGCGGCGGGCTTTTGTTGCCCTTGCCGGGACGCGCTTAACGGCGGCAGCTCCATGACTTTTTGCACAAAAGGAATGGGACTTTCTTCGGATCCTCACCTCAGGCGCATGCCGTGGACGGCCGAAAAGGAGTGTGTGCCCGGTGTTGTTCATGGCTCCGAGGGAAAGATGGTGTTGGATGGTGCACGACGAGTGGATGTGGATCGCGTTGACCGTGCATCGCAGGTGTATCCGCTGGAGGCATTGCGGACGGCCGTCGCCACATGTGAGTACAATACATTTAGAGAAAGAACATTTTTAATTGGCTTCTCAGGCGGAATCCAATGTACTCAGGCAATGGGTTTACCGCCAGGAGTGGCAGGAGGAGACGCACGACGAGAACGCCACTCGCACCGTCATTCATTTCCGTCGCCGCTAAAACACGACGCAGCCCGCGCCAATACGCCTTGCGGATGTTTTGGGTGGCATGCACTGTTCTGTTTGCCGCCACTGTTCCCCATTCCCGAGCGTCGGTGCAGACGTCCCTGTCGATGCAAGTTCCTGTGGCTTTCGGACACATCCATTGATTGATGCGGCCGACACCCCAGCCCATTGCTGGTGCTTCTTGCATGACTGCTGCACCGCCCCAGCAGCTGGTGCAGTGGGAATGGGGACGAGAACACAGCAGACCAGGTTCAATCAGATGGTGCTGGCAGCCCTGTCAGCGTCTCGCCGACCCCAGCGACCCACCCACACCACCAGCGAGCACAAAAATCGACGGGACAGGGAAGGCATCAACGGAGTGTCAGGACACCAGTTGTCTTTTAACATCACTCCTAGTCAACCAACCGTAGGAATTCACAACAACATCATTCACCAACAATGAAAAAGGAACAACGACCACCGCCGACAGCGACAGTAGCACCGCGGTCTTCTACACACCACCTCCCATTTTTTGCATCTTATTGTTGTTGCGTGTGCGGCTGCTGCTGCGGTGGTGGCCGCGTGAGAGTGAGGGAGAGAGCCGTGCACCGCCCGCACACACACTCGTCCTTCTCTCTCTCTGTGTGTGTGTCCCCTTGCATGGACTCTCGCCCTCACCTCACCCCACGAGGCACACACAATAATGTGCCCATTGTATATATGTATGCACACCCATGCAGGCCCGTTGGTGCTCTCTTTTGCACGACACGCACCGCTGCCGTCCTGCCTGGCTGCATGGGCGGAGCACCGTAACTGTTTCTGTTTTGTTTTATTGCATTGAGTGGGCGACCTCTCTCTCTCTCCCTGTGTGTGTGTGTTTTGCTTTACGGGAGCAATGAGAGTGTGTGCGCTGGTCGTCCCACGCTTCGGCTTTTTGTTTTGTTTTCCTTTTTGATTTTGTGGTTGAGTGCACCCATTCCGCGGGCTGCGTACGTGTGTGTGTGATGATATGAGTAATTTGCGTGTGTGCTATCTGCCTCTCTCTGCCGTTGCTTTTTTTGACTCTCTTGTGGCATACAGCTGCTCTGCAAGTATAGGCGCTGCCAAATACATTCAAATACACACACCATGCTGCACATGCCGTGTTTAAACGCTGAGAATGCACGCACAGGATTTTATCTGCGGATGGCGATGGAGGGATGACGGGAGAACGTGATTTGTTTTGTTTCTGTGCTAAGGGCATGATTATCTTGACGTGTAGCAGTTGACTAATGTGGTGTGGCATTGAGGGTGTCTGGGAGGAGTGCAGATTCACACCCGGCAGCTGAACGTGCCGACGTGTTCCTCCCGCTGTACATGCACCCACGAAGGATTCTGCGGCTGTGCGGGGCGATGTGCGATGGATGGTGCGGGGAGAGACAACAGTAAAACGACTGGCGGCAGCATGTGTGGGCGTAGCTCGGTGTGTGCTGACGCGTGGCAGAAGCACCTGCCGTGGCTTTTACTGCTGGTGGCAACAGTCGCTGTGTGTTATCGGTGCACTGTTATTCCTTCTCGTTCCGTGTGCCTGTGTGCGTGAGTTGTTGTTGTTGTTGGGAGCGACTGCGGTGGAGATGATGGTGCCACTCACTGTGGAGGGGCGGCGGTGTTCACTGTTTCACTTCCTTTTCCTCTTTTTTCTTTCTCACACACAAAGAAGGAAAGGAAGCAAGGCTAAACGCTAATCGCTACTGTGAAATTCGAAGGCTCTGAAAGGACCAACAGCACGCACACACCGCCCACACAAACATATTAATATGCTCTCACGTGTTGCTGCAGTGAAAGCACCCCGCACACACAACCGTCGCGGCGTGACCGGATCCAGCGGAGGGAGGAGGGAAGGAAGAGAGAGTGAGCGGCAGAGACCCAACATGTCCCGGCATCTCTTCTACTCTGCGGTGGCCCTTCTCATTGTTGTGATGATGTGCTGCAACGCTGGTGGTGCTGCTGAAGCTGCTGGGCAGTCTCCTGAACCAAAGTTTGAATGGAAGGACGTCAAGGATGAGGAGGGTGTTACTGTGGAGTCGTTGGGTGCTCCCGGCCTTTTAAAAGCGGGGAGTGACGTATTTGCCGTTGTCGAGGCGCAGTGCAAGGATGGCGGTGAAAAAGTATTTACTGGAATTGCCTCGGAGCTCCTGACATTGAGTGATGAAGAATCAAAAGAATTGGTTACAAATGCAGTAAAGACACAAGTACTGGAGGAATGTGCATTTGATGAGAAAAGCGCCTGCCATATAGCGGGTCAGGATGATTCCAAAACCCAGACGAGAGTACTTTTGAGCCGACCAACAACAGTTGTTAAGGGAAGTGATATTTACATGCTTGCTGGGAATTACAGTTGGACACTTGCCGCTGGTGTTCAGGGAGCTGATGGAGGTTACTGGGGACTCGTGCTGGTGAAAGGGAACGTCAGTAAAGAAGAAAGTCAAAAAAGAATCTTTTGGAATGATACTTACGCTATCCCGTGGAATTATAACAAACAACACAAATCCTTGGCGCGGCTGGTTGGCAGTGGTGGATCGGGTGTTAAGATGGGGGACGGTACGCTTGTGTTCCCAGTGGAAGGCACGAGGAAAAAGACGACGAACCAGGTTGGCACTGAAGAGGATGAAAAGACCGTTTCGCTGATCATCCACTCCTTGAAGGATGCTAAGAGTTGGAAGCTGTCGAAGGGGATGTCTGACGGTGGCTGCAGTGATCCCTCCGTCGTGGAGTGGAAGGACAAAAAACTCATGATGATGACTGCGTGTGATGATGGCCGCCGCAGGGTGTACGAGTCCGGTGACAAGGGGGAGTCGTGGACGGAGGCACTCGGGACACTCTCGCGCGTGTGGGTCAACAAACACGAAAAAGTGAAGGCCGTTAGGAGCGGGTTCATCACAGCGAAGATTGACAGTGATGAAAATAACAGAAATGTGATGCTCGTTACTCTGCCGGTGTATTCCGAGGTGACTGAGAAAGGAGGCAATGTGAAAAAGGGCGAACTCCATCTTTGGCTGACGGACAATACGCACATTGTTGATATTGGGCCGGTATCCGATGATGACGCTGCCGCCAGCTCCCTGTTGTACAAAAGTGGTAAAGGTGGAGATAATAAGGATGAGTTGATTGCACTGTACGAGAAGAAGAAGGTCGACGCGGATAAAACATCACACAGTCTTTGGTCTGTGCTTCTGACTGCGCAGCTGCAGCGTGTGAAGGAGGTTCTGGCGACGTGGAAGAAAGTGGACGAAACTGTCTCCAAACTGTGCCTCTCAAGTGCTGAGGAGGATGGCTCACCTGAAAATGCCTGCAGCCCTACTGTTAAGATCACGGATGGGCTGGTTGGCTTTTTGTCCGGCAACTTCTCTGGTAACACATGGAGGGACGAGTACCTCGGGGTGAACGCCACAGTGAAGAAGAAAGATGATGGGGAGGCAGGGGCAACAAAGACTTCCGATGGTGTGAAGTTCCAGGGAGCGTGGGCGGAGTGGCCTGTTGGCGCGCAGGGGGAGAATCAGCTGTACCACTTTGCGAACTACAACTTCACTCTTGTGGCGACGGTGTCCATTGACGGTGAGCCGCAGGAGGGTTCTCCCATTTCTTTGATGGGTGTGAAGTGGATTGACGATAAGAATCCCGTACTTTTTGGACTGTCGTACGACAGAGAAAAGAAGTGGCAGCTGCTGTGCGGTGGCGGAACGAACACTGAGGATCAAAGCCGCACTTTGGCGACGGAGGCAGCACACCACGTGGTAATTTTGTTACGGAACGGCACCCAAGGCTCCGCGTACGTCAATGGTCAGCGCGTATTGGGAGATGCACAATGTGATTTGAAAAATACGAAAGATAAAAAGATCTCCCACTTCTACATTGGAGGGGATGGAAGTGCAAAAGCCGATTCAGATGTCCAAGACGTGTCTGTGACGGTGACGAACGTCCTGCTGTACAACCGTCCTTTGAATGACAGTGAGATTACTGCGCTTAACAAAAAACTTTCTATTCCAAAAGCAAAAGATGCAAAAACAATGAAGGTTACTGCACCAGAGGCAAGTAAACAAGCTACGACGGAAGCCGGAACTCCGTCTATTCTTGGTGGGCAACAACAGACTGAACAGGATCCGTTGAAGAAAAGTGAAAATGCGGGGAGTGGCGTTTTATCCACGTCAGCGGTGTCCATTGCTACGACTTCCCCAGCAGCCAAAGAATCCGAAAAACAGTCAGCATCGGGAACATCTCCCAGTGGAAACAAAAATGTGGATGTTCATTCTTCGTCCGAGGGAGTTCAAACGGTGGATGCCGAAGCTGGAGACACGGTGCAAGGAGATGGAACACAACAACCGTCAGTGGGCACTCCCGCCACAGCAGATACAAATGCCCCTACCGCTGAAACCATGGCGCCAGATGGAGCCGCCGTGACACCTGAGGCGGGAGGGCACACTGGTGAGAATGGGGAGAGAGTGGGAGGGACGGATGGTCAGAAACGGGAGGACATCCATGCACAGGACAAGGAAGTAAAGGCTGCGGCACTCAGCAGCAGCCTCGGAAATGTGTCGCAGGGGAATAACAGCGATACCGGCACCATGCGTGAGAGCGGAATGCTGCCATCGCTGTTTCTTCTGTTGGGACTGTGGGTGTTTGCGGCTCTGTGAGGAATGACTGGCTGCCGCGTGGGACACTTGCGACCTCCCTGCAGAGAAATACACGGTAATTAATTTATCTTCTTTAATAACTTTTATTTACTTTTTCCCTGTTTGCTTTTTTTTATTTTCCTTTTGGGGCAATCACTATGGACGTTTTTTTTCTTTTTTACTCTTCCTTCTTTAAATTGTTTCTTCTGCACTCTTCCTGCGAGGGGTGCCGTGTGTTTCCCGCCCAACTGCTCCACTCGCACACCCACCGACACGCTCATGACGACGGCCCTGTGCGCCTCGCCTGCTGCACGCATGAGGAGGGGCCGCGACGAACGGCGCGCTGAGGGAGCCGTGACGTGTGGGCGTGCGACGAGGGCCTGTGGGGCGGCGCACACATTTCTTCCATCTTGTTTTGTTTCTTTGCGGCCAGGGCGGGCAGACACCCGCAGCGCCACACACACAGCCACACCCTGCCGCCGTGTTTTTCTTTAAGGATTTGTTTTGCTTTGCGTGTTTATTTCATGCGGTGGCGCACCCTTCAGTGTCGGCCTCGTGAGCATTTCTCTCCCCTCCGATGATTTCTTTTTCTTTTGCTGCGCTCACTCCCCGATGGAGTGACGCGACTGCCGTCATGTCTGCGTGCTTCTCTCAGTCCCCACACACGAGTGACTGTGCTCTGCGGGCCGCACTCACGCGCCGATGAAAGGGCTGAGGGGAGCAGCAACACGCAGATGACGCCGTGAAATATAAACGAAGTGCGGACACATGGAGTGTCAGACGGTTGAAGCACACGCAACCATCTTTTAATTTTCTTTTGCGGGCAAAATATATGCAGACAGTTTGGTGGGGCCACACGGCAGCCAGGCGATCTTTATCTTATTTTTAAATTTGTGTGGAACAGTGATGGACGATTTCTTTTTCATTTATAATTATTTTGTGTGGTGGGGTTTACATAAGACGAAGGGGGACGTTTTTTGTTTTCAATAAATATTGTGTGAATTGCCGCTGCTTCCGCTGCAGTGCAGTCATGAGTTCGAGCGGTCTTCTTGTTGTTGTTTCCGTTATGCGTCCCCGCTGTACATTTTTGCGCGTCCCTCCGCATACTCTGCTCCCTCTTTTCTACTTCATTGCTTTGTGTTGCTGCAGGCACACACAACCACACACACAAGATGCACATTGCAGTGGATTTGAATGCACCTTTTGTGGTGCATGCTGGCAGTTGCGTGTGGCTGCTGTTGTCTTCTTCCGTGGCCATGAGGAGGGGGAGAGGGAGCGCACCCCGAGTCTATTTTCCTGTGGGTGTGATGCACCGCGTGTGACTGCGCTGAGTTGGGCTCCGTGTCCCATTGATGGCGGGATGGCAGGAAATTTTTTACCGCGTGATGGATGGATGAGGGTTCGCTTGCTCCGTGTGCGTTGCGTGGTGGCCGCGGGGTTTTGCCATTTCCCTGGGGCTGCGGGAATGAGCTGGGGGAGATGGTGGTGGATGTCTTCTCCTCCTGCATGGTGGGTGGCTGCTGGCGTTGTGTGCCTTCCTTGCGTGGATGCCGTCTCGTGGTGTGTGAACTGTGCGGCTGGGCCTGCTGCCCTCTCCTCATGTTGTCTGCGCTCTCTCGCTGTATCCGCTGTGCTCCGTCCCTCTCCCTCTCGTTCCATTCCTTTCCTTCTGTCTCACCGATCAGCTGACTGACACCAGCGACTCCACTACGGGCGATGATGACTGCGATGGTGACGGTGCGGCGCCGTGCTGGTCCTTGCGCTCTTGTGCTGCTGCTGCTCGTCCGTGTGCGTGACGGCGGCGGGAGACGATAATAATGATAACAGCCGTCCTCCCAGCCCTGAGCTAGGGAAACCGGATCCTACAAAAAAATGCCTGGTGCATTACAGCCATATGGTGGGGAGACCGGTGAGCCACAGACAGAGAGTGGGAGAGACAGCGAGGAGGGTTTGAGAAGTCAAGGACCTTCGTTGCCAAAGGAAGCAGGCACAGCCATCACTGGACAGACACGAGCTCCGCCAGAGTCACTGAGTTCGGCTAGCGATAATCCAGAGCCACCAGGTTTGGCAACTCAGTCTCCACACACACACACAAGGTGCGACCGGTATGTCAGATGCACAAAAATAGAAGGTGCAGTAAAATACACAAGGAGACGATAATCATAAGACAAGGATATCAAACGAGAGGATGAAAATGCCAAATACGACCACCAATAAGACTACAACAACGCTCTGGGTCAGCCGGCCACCTCAACGTGGTGCCAGGGTGCAGCACTCTTTGCTAGGGATGAAGCTAAGCGCCTGCGGCCCATCCGCTGCGCGCGGAGAGGTGGCGGACGCCGAACAAGCGGGTCGGAAGGGCACCAGATGGAGCCATTTGTAATGGTTGTCCGCTGAGCGGTATTTCTATCCGCTGCTGAATTCCATCGGCGCTTATCAGCGCTATAAATACCGTTTGCGTGCCGTATGTGACGCGCAACGACAAAAGCTACCGCTAAGCGGAGACATTGAGCAGAACCCAGGCCCCATAGCAGTACTCCAGATGAACGTTTTTTTGCCTCACGCCGTCAAAACTCGCAACATTAATGGCGCAAGGAGCAGACATAATAGCCATCCAGGAGACGTGGAAGTCGTCAGAGCAGATCGCCAGCATGCACACTGGAGATTATGTGCTCCATGCACAGTCGCGCATCGGCAAGGGAGGCGGTGTGGCGGTGCTGGTGCGGAAAACTCTCCGCTCCAAGCGTATATCTCTCACCATACCCCAGCATGACACCAGCCATGAAGTGGTGTTCCAGGTTGCTCTGGACCAAACCGTGATCTTATTGTAGCGAGTGACTATATGAGACCACCACCGCAAGTAACGCAATCCTTCAGGCGGTTAGTAAACTGCCTTCCAGCCTCGTCGCCGCTCCTGCTGTGCGGGGATTTCAACATGCATCACCCACAGTGGGAGCCATTCTTGGAGACTTCTCCAAGCGAGGTTGCTGCAGAATTTCTAGAACTGTGCACGTATGCGGGACTCACCTTGGTTAACACCCCTGGTGAGATCACGTATGCCCGTGGCACAAGAGAACGATCCTGTATCGATCTGACATGGTCAAAGCATCTGACTGTGTCGGATTGGTCAGCTTCCGTGTCGCCGCTTAGTGATCATTATATGCTGACATTTACGCTGCATCAGGCATTTAAGGATACCATACCTTCGGCACCTAGGATATTCCACAGTTGGGGGAAGTGCAAGTGGGATTTATTCATCAAGGACTTCGACGCACAACTTCCGGCATACGACTATAAAAAGCAGTCCACCGGCATTAAGGCTTTCACGAGAGCGCTTATAACTTCGTATCGACGACATTGCCCCCGCGGCATGCACAAGGACGGTCCCAGGCTTTGGAACGACACTCTCATGGAGGCAGAGCGGATTGCTGCCGACAGCAAGGCCCGCTATCTACAGTTACCGACGCCCGACCGTGAGGCAGAAATGTAACGGACAAGGAGTCAATTCCTCCTCCTACTCCGAGAGCGCTTGCGCAACACGTATCTACGCCGCATCAGCAAGTTAAATCCAGGCGAGCCACTCGCATGGAAATACATTTCCGGACGAAAAAAG